ATCCGTTTTTCCTCGATAAATCTATATGGAATACTCATCGAACTGTGTGACTCGCACGTAAACCGCTATTGCATCGCTGCGCACAGAACGCTGAAAGGCAAATTGCAGTTTTATTTTACCAATGTAATCACCAATGATAGTACGCCACGCGAGATTGAAGAAATCAAAATTTTCACTTTTGCATTACAATCGCGTGATTTTTGTCGGTTTGTCCCTAGAGGCTGTGAATACAGTTTACAGAAAAATGACTTTTTTAAGCTTGTTACAAAACTATGTTTCAAATTATATGCCATATGTGATGTTTGCTGCATATAATAGCTTTATTTATCAAAAATAGAATCAAAGTAAATTTATTTTTCACAATAATTCTCTCTATTTTATAGCTTTTAAAATTGCATTTAAATTAATCTCATGCACCCCATTTTGCATGTCATATATTTAAATTAGTATCTTCATACTCATTGCAAATATAAGCAGAAGTGGTTCATATTAAAAATATTAAAAAATATATGAAAGCCATAAAATAAAATTCTCACGGAAAAAGCTAAGAAAATGTGTGAAACGATAAATAGAAAAATGTGAAACAATAAGAATTTTATGAAATATATTCGAATGTATCTCATAAATCATAAATATTTAATATACGTATATTAAGATTCTGAATAGAGAAGAACAAATTTTTTTCATTAATTTAAAAATTAAGATTTTTTATTGTAACAAAATGTACTATTTTATTCATCTACGAAATTTAATAAAGTGAACAATCGCTCAATTTTGCATAATTTATGAATGTTCACAAGTTGCGCGTATCAAGGACAGTGTATGACTTCGTATTTTGTGGTTCATATTTTCTCTTCAGGCTAACCGCATTTTCTCGTGCGCGATTATGAACTGTCCTAGGCAGTGCATATTACTTATGTTACATTTGGAGCCGCAGAGTAATGCGTTCCATTATGACTACCACCCATACGCATTTCTCGCTCGTGTTTGTTCTCTTGGCTTCAAGCCGATCGTACAATAGTGGAACTATTTATTCTGGGAGAGACATTTCCCAGTTGAATAACTCGTTCTCTTCGGCACTGCACGAGAACGAGTCAATTTTGTCCTTGCTTTTCTTAGTACAGCTAATTAAGAATTATGTCACGTAATTAATGCTATTAATTAAGAATCTCGGCGTCCGGTAGTCTTTCGACATTTTTTAATCAAATATCAAAGCGGAATTCTAAGTCCACTGTTTCACCATCACACTGACAAGAGATAAACTAATGACCAATAAATCAATGGATTAAGTGAATAAAGAAGCAAGGCGCTCGTTTTGCTGATTAAACAAATTTGCACGGATCCGCACGAGCGGATCTTGTTAACACCCTGACTGCTTCCTCACTGTTTTCGCTCGATTCAACATACTATTTATTTTAATTTGTTTATTTATTTAATTAAACTTTGATTTAAATTTTCGAATAAAAATATACAAAAGACAAATGATCCATATTCTACTACCATGCAAATTTTTTCATTTTTTTATATTCAGCAATTAATTGCACGGAATTAAAAAATATTGTTTGTTTCTACTGACTATCTATCATTTTCTATACATAAAATAAGAATTATCTATTTTACAATTTGTATTTAGAATTATGCAAAAATATATTGGAGGATACATATATAACTGAAAAATTCACGATAATTGAAAACAGCGCGTGAAGCATAATGTTTTGCCTCTCATTAATTTATTACATAAAATCATTATTTTGACAACAATTTTGTGCTTTTGCATAACAATGTTACATCATGAAAGTTATGATCCATAAGAAGCTTAATTATAATTAATCGGATCTATTATATTGCAATAAATAAATATTATGTCATTGAATATTTTATGATTAATATATTTTACATAACTAAGAGACATATAAATATAATATTGTGCCTTTTAAATATTATCGCAAATTTTGCAGTTGCATTTCAGTATCTTCAAATAATTCTACATAGATTAAAAAATTATGTCTACGAAACTATAGCAAGAGAAAAATGATGTACTGTAAAATAGATAGAAAAATTAAGAGCTCATATTTATACATTAATTGTTTTAATCAATTGACATTCCTTTTCAAACTAATTGGCTCTTATAAAATTGTATTTTTAATCAGTATTAAAAAAAATGGAAATATTTTCTGTGCAATCAAATAGTTCACCAAACAATTGCGCGAGTTATGTTTGAATAATTTCTTCATCTTTTAAATTTTCGAAACGCGTCACGTCACAAAATGCCATCACTACGAACACACGTTGCTATATTCAAATGCATCAGACTGGTATTTCATCTATTTGCTTATATCCATGTTATGTCCATGATGGCTATTTGTTTCGAGTACTCACCAACGCTGTTTAGCGGGCATTATTAAAATGGGCTATTACACAATTTGCATGGCGACAATGGCATAAGGCGGCGCCTGAAAAGGGGCCGCGCGATAAACGGTAATAACGCAATTCTTGATGTGACGGAGAGAAAGGGAAAGTCAAGGGTACTCGAGTATAAGGATGCCCGGATGAGATAGATAGCGAGAAGCACGAAGAAAAAAAAGATGAGGCACAAGAATGCGAGAAATAAAAAAAAAAATGATGGAAGATATAATTATTCCACCGCTCTTTAGTGCTTATGCTTACAAGCTATTTTTAGTTTGCTTATTTGACTATTCGATTGCGTGTGTTGAAGACAATTGATTCTCACGAGACAGCATGCAAATATACTTTCTGATGTAACATTTTTGTGTATCGAAAATCGTGCAAGTTGAACCAATTGAATACGAGTTTCAGCTCTTATCGCTGCATGCGCAATGATTACTGATACGCATTCTCCATGGCATGGCGTACGTGACATTTTCGTCTTAAATGCGAAGTGCATGCATATATGTGGAAAATATGATCTTTTCAGCATACTTGCTTATACTTATATTGCTTATACTTATCAGGAATACGTAAGTAAAAAATTCACGTAAATTTGATTTTGTCTAATAGCAATAAATGTACGTATTAGATTTGTAAAATAATAATGAACAAATTCACATCTACACACAAATAATACAAATTCATTACTGTATGCTAAATAAAAATGATATAAAATTCTAATATTTATTTAAATATTGGAAGGATATAATTTCGAATATTTATATCTCGATTTTTATATTTTTATTCGATTCATATCAATGCTTTTATCATTTAAGAATATTTGAAAATGAATTTCAAGTTAATGGAAATATTTAAAACCTTCAAAATTTATATAAACCTTTAAAATTTATATAAAAAAAGTTTTCAACATATTAACACACAATATGCAATACAAGAGCGGCAACCGGTTGCGGTTATTTCAGGAGGGAACAAACAGTGTTTGTTGTACTTGTAGCAAATTGAATACTTCTTGGTGAACTCCTAGTGACGCGAAACCGATTGTATCTATGTACACTAGTTCTTCGCAGGTCTTGCTACGTAAACAGCAATGGTAATCGACACCACGAATCGTTTATCGTAGTGATATATTGATTTTTTGAAAGAGCCACGAGTTTAGATCGACCGCGACTGCGGCAGGGAAATTGAATATATCGAGGTCATCAGTATGTAAATGAAAGACAAGTGACTGAAACTATATTGGCCATTAATACAAATCGTTTTTTTCAACGTTGGATTCGATATTCCATCAAAAAGTATTCATTTCGGAGGCTGTTGAACAACGCGAATTGAAATGTATAAAGCGCGTCGAACTTGGAAAATTAGTAAGCTTTGCTTTCGATTCAAATCTTTACATCTGTATCGGTCGGATGTAGAAATCGAATAGCTCGGGCTTTATATCGAAAATTGATGGCTTGAACGTGACTAACGACTGGTGACTCGATATTTTCTCTTAACCCGCTTTCGTTCCTTGCTTTTTTCGCTTCTCGTCCGCCTCATCGCGAAACGTTTGTCTAGTGACTCGCTTAATTTTATTATCATTTTTTTTTATACAACTGCGTAATGTTACTAAATGATCCGCGAATGATTTCATGACGCAATTCGCTACCTTCAACGGTCACTGACATATCAAATGTCCCAATGTGCATTGAAATGTGTTGCAGCAAATTATATGCGTAAGTCGACTGTCATATTTTGCGCAGCCAAATCGAAACCTACCAATATAGAAGCAGACGTGAATGGTATAGAGAGAAACAGCAGGTGGTTTGCATTTCGACCGGGTTGCATTTCCGGCATCCTATTTAGTATCCCATTTCTAAAGCGCCTAAACTAATATTACTTAAAGGATAACGATTGAAATTCGAAATCGTGATTTGGCTCCTCTCGCGTAGATGAAAGCACTGCGGGTTACTGTGATCTATTTTGGATAGCAAACCCATCATAGATAGATAAAAGTTTATTGAGGAGGGCCAATGCAAAACAAAAATTTATTTATGTTTTTAAAATATCCGATTTCAAAATTTAAAAAAAAACATTAAATCAAAACTTACTTTTAGAGATTATATCACAATTTTTATTTTTCAAGCAAAGATACCGAGCGCAATTTCTACAGAGTGCAACGTTATACGTGAAAAGAATCGATTGCTTTCCCGTCATAGAACGACGGGACATGACGTTTATTTGGCGCTTCATCGGCGCTTCTCTGACGAATCACCGCAAGCAAACGTCAATAATCTATCAAGGTAATTTCTCGGAAGCTTCCAGGGGCAAGCACCTGTGGAATACACCTATACCAAGAAATCCCAGCGACATGCAACCTCATCGTCGACGACTCGTGCGAGAATTCGCACGGGATCGTGGGTGGTTGCCGGCGTGAAAAGAGAGCAGGACACTGTGACCGAAGTACACGGGTACGTTTGATTGGACGAGAATGCTTTAGCGACGGACGACGAGGGTGGGAACCAACTATGGAGGTGGGGGTGCATGGGGGTGCGAGAGTCGCAAAGTCGCGCGGGCTTATATAAACGGGTGGCGGACGGTTCGCCTTCGCAGAGCCGTATTCACCGTCGCTGGACGACACACCGCCGTCCACCACAGATATTCTTCGGCCCGTTTGCCGTTCTGTCAGCTTCCCGATTTCCATCGACACTAAGGTACACATTCACAAATACTATTTCACGCAAGAAAAATCTTCCTGACATCTTGTGCAAAATTTCCGCGCTTGCTTTCACACGCGTTATTTTCGTTCGTAGATCTTTGGAATTTATTCTGAATTTTTGCGCAACAAAAAATATTCTAGTTTTAAACGGTTGGAAATGCGATATAAATATTAGTTTCAGAAACAAATCTTTAAAATTAGAAATATATGGCTTCAATATTAATTCTTTAATTTCAAGTGCAATCTCATTTCAACAGAGTTTGAATTTATCGAAGTGGTTGTAAAGATATTTAAAGTCAATTGTGCTGAAATAATGCTGTTAGCAAAAGCAATCTTTCAAGTAAATCGAGTAATAACTTGCACGCGTTCTTGCGGTCATGCAATCTGATACGTCCTGATAGGAGTTGGAGAAGTAACTCTGCACTTGTGATTATCCTAGTGACTTCGGGCACCGCGTCTCCCAGTAGTAAGACCTCACGCTGCTACGGACAGTAGTAAGACTTTACGCTTCTACGGACAGCGGTAACTACCCGCAGTTTATCAAACAGTTGAAGTTATAGCGGAAACTCGTTCTGCTCCTCTTAATACAAATAGAAAGCATTCGCGTATATAATATTATTTTTTAAGTTAAAAAGGTCTACTTTCAAAAGGCTAAGGTCTACTTTATTCTTTGTTGATGAAAGAAAATAGCTTTCATTTTCTAAAAGAATTTTTTATGGTTTTAGTTGGAAATATAGTAAAATATTTTATGTAACGCAATGTACAAAAGTTCTAGATTGTTTTCGTTTCAGTCACAAATGTACTAAAAGAAATATGAATCGTGCATTAAGTAACATTTTGCATGACTTTTTTATTAATTTAATTATAGAAAAATATTACGCAGTTTTTTAGCGATAAAATTCTTTCGAACAATTTTTTATCGTGTCGGATAAAAATACATTTTGCGGAAACAGGAAGAAAAAAATCCATCTATCTTTGCACGTGTCAATGCGGGAGCAAAGATATTTCGCGTAATAGCGATAGTGAAACAAAAGACGGAACAAAAGCACGTGCGGTATGAAAATGACGCAAAGCAATTATCTGGGTTAAACAAGCACCGTAAAGTGCTTCGCATAGAACTTCGCAAATTCTGCCTCGTAAATCTGCCAAAACGTCACAAATTTTGCTTATTTAAAAGCTGTACCCTCGGGCTACTGCCTACAGAATGAGATAAAGTAAAAAGGAAAAATGTGTATCTGTATCCTCATTCTAATCAAATGCTAAGTGGATTATACATTTAACCAACCCATCCATAAAGACTTTTTATAAAGTATATCACTATAATTTAATTAAATAAGAAAGCTTCCCTTTAAAAAAAGAGTAGATTTCACTTTCAAGAACACACAACGCAAAATTTTATTATAATTTAATGTAAGATATCTTAAAAAATTGTTGAACTTTACAGCTTTTCTTACAATTTACACAAAAATACCCTGTATAATTACAGAATTTAGTCTGGATGGATATCATCGCGCGTGTTTTTGCCGCAAACTACTTAGCATTATCATTGCTCATTTCACGCCTAACACAATCGTGGTCTAAAGGACACATAATACGCACAACCTATAGCAACAAAAGGGTTAATTGTTGACAGATAAAGCACTTAACGCGTAGACCGCAACGACCAATCGTGGTTCCACAACACTATTGTTAGCGCGGATGAAGAGAAAAACCGAGGCGTATGTAGATACAAAACATGGTCGCGTCGAAACCGCAGCGGATGCATTATGATAATTTGCAATCGATTAATATCTAATTACTAACAGAGGCAAGCTAACACGGAATTATGTACGAAGCAGAATTACTCCACAATGCATATCCCTGTAATTTTCTCTTCAATTGCCATGATCGATTAACGTAACTGACTAATCAACTGTCTGAACTGCATACAGTCTCTCTTTCTCTCTCTCTCTCTCTATTTCTCTCTCTTATTCAAAACGCTTACTTAAAAATTGGTGTATGTCGTTAAAAAACTCTTTTAATAAATTCTTCTTATCAAATTGATCAAGTGAAAAAATATTCAAAAAGTAAAAAGGTTCACAAGTCTGTTTAATTCAACTTCACAGAATTGAAACAAATTCGCAACACAAAAGAATGTATTTTATGCTGTATTATATAGGCAATAAAAGCGTGTTGGCATGCAACTTTACGCGTTTTCATCTAAAACTTTTTACAAAAATGTATAGTATCACGAAAAGCGTTAACGTTTCTTCCGCCAATCGGAAGGTCGCTTAACGGCGCCACGGAAGAAAGAAAGAGAAAAATTGTTCCATTTTACTTTCTAAAAGCTTGGCATCCGATGAGAATCAGTTAACTGGTAACGCATTTCACATCCTCATATTTTTATTGCAAGGAAAATCTGAACCTTTCACGATTTTTTTCTATAACCATTAATATTCAAAAAATTTAGGAGCGATCGTCTTTTATCTGGAATATTGATCATAAGCAATATGATTGAAAAAATAAATTTTTATGCTATTCTTAAATTAGATAGAATTATTTTTTTATATTAGTTATATACACAATTAGAATACATTTTCATTAACTTCCAATTTTAACTAATTGTAAGTGTATAAATTTTGTTTTCGTAAAAATGCAATACTAAAATGTAAAATAGAATATAAGGTTAATTTCTAATAAATAGCTCTTAATAAAACCAAATTTTTATTTTTTCGTAATTTAAACATTTTTGCAATTGAATAAATTGATCTGTGGTAATCATTGATCAAATTCTGACGTAAGAAAATAAAATTTAAAAAATTGTGAGCTTATCAAAAGGGAGATAAAGTTGAAAATGTGGAATTTGTTACGGTAACTGTAATAATGGATGCCCAAATATTTACGCACAATTGTTCGCGCGGAAATGTGGGTAAATATTTTATGATTGATTTTAGATGGGGGTTATACGCGCTCGCTATATTTACGAAACGATTAACGACTATGACTATGGATTAACGGCGCGCTCGGAGTGTCGCGGCGCCGCGTCGGCAGAAAATTATTGAATGAAAAGATTGGCTCCGGAATTAGCAGTAAAAAGACTACGTTGTCTGAACGCGCTTTTGCTGATATTTAACTAAGCAAAAAATAAAAAAACTGGTCGCAATTAATTATTTATTACAAGACAAGAATGCTATATCTTCTAGCAAATATTCTTTCAACGATTTTAATAACTTGCAATCTTTTAGCATTGTATTATTTTAATAATACATTTATTATGTAGTAATAATAAAAATAAAATATCTTACAAATTTTAATTTATTATTTAAAAATTATTATTATATCTAATTAAATTTACTTGCTAAAAATTTTATGTCTAGAGAATTGCAGGCAATTTTAAAGAGTAATAATTGAAAAGCTCCACACTTTTTAAGCAATGTTTTTTGTTAAATTTGATTACGATCTATAAATTACAATAGATACATAATACAACGATATAACGATTAGTTATTTTTATTCTTAAGTTTCAAGGTGCTTTTTTGAAATAATGGCATTTATCTCATATAAACCGGTGGAAAGCAAATTGCGCTCCGTGAAACTCACAAAACGTTCGATGAGACGCAACGAGTAATGTCATTTTGCGACGATACGTCCGTGGATTTCATATGAATGGGCCCTTGATGGTAGCCAATCCTGCCTGTAATCGGAACGCGTTTTAACTTTCACGCTCAACGAAACGAAAGCCGCGAGAGGATATACCTCGTTCACGAATACGATATATATCTCCCGCCGTGTGGTAAACACTTTAAAGTCTTTATCCTCGATTCGAATCAGTGTATTTATACATATACACGCATAAAGAATACATTTCATTTCAGAATTTATGTAGTTTAAACGCGCCCACGCATGTAGAATAGCCAGCGTAAAGTGCCGTCAATTTATAAAATATGCGTTAATCTAATTTTCTGCACCACACTTTACTGAACATTACGGAATGTATTTTATATGCAGTTTTGCGAAAATATTACCAATCACAGATATGTAATCAACAACCATTGCGGCAAAATAAATATATTTATTTTGATTATAATTTTAATTAAAAGTTCACGTATCTTTATTCTTATTTCTTTCATTTAAATAAATTGTTGACAATTTCGATTTTACATTGCGAAAAAAGATGATAGAACAATTGAAATAACATAATAAACTGATGATAAAACCAAACATTGTAAAAAATTCATAAATTTATTAAACAATAATATTAAATAATAATAAAAACGGCAACAATTTCTTTAAAAATTTAGATTTGTTTCACCTCGCTGAATAAATAAAACATCTGGAAAATAAGCGCAATTTTCACCGTTCTCTCAACAACTTTATTCGTCGGACTCACAGTTCAGACGTAGCTCTTTAATTAATTTTGCAGATAAACCTGCTTTACGGCAGCAGGTGCTAGCGAACATTTTTAGTAAGGCGCGTGGCGCGGAGAATCATTGATTTATAGGTAAACTCCCTGTCACTTATTACGGCGACTGCAGAAATTCCAACAGACTGGAAAGCAGTAGCTTTCAATATATAAGCGCGAATGGCATGGTAAGAACGTACATAACCGATTTAATAGCAATAATATTTTTTCCAGCAACCGACGTGCCTGTCGTTTATAAGGAATATCCTAAGTATATACATTTTCTTTCGTCTTCTCTTTAAAGATTTTTCCCTAATCTAAATTTGACTGAAAGCGTTATCTTCCTTCGTAATCTTTTTTCGTAATTAATTTTTAAGCTAAAATTTTTCGTTGTTATAATGGAAAAATGTGTACTCTATCTCTGCTTAAGAAGTAAGGAGATTGTCACCGCAAAAAATGGATATTCTCTATCTAATATGATGTAACAACGAGTCGCGCGAGCATCGAAACGGGCAAGAGTTTTCGAGACCAGACGAACATAAGAGTCGAAATTGCCAAAACGTTACTTTCCTAAGAAAAACACTATCGAGATATTGTTTCCATAAAGTAAACAC